CAAGGACCAGCACCCGGGGCCGGGACGTGCCCGCTGCCAGGAGCGGTGGGAGAAAAGAGCGGTTTTGCGGGGTGGAAAATTAATGTTTTTAGCTAAGAATGTTGTAAAGTAAGAACACCGGTGTGTCAAGTAGAGAAGGCTGTCAGAAGCAAAGCTCGGAGTACTCCCAGGTGCAGTGAGTGTACTGACTGGCTTCGCTCCGTGGCAGCAGCTGTGGGAGACAGACCATCACCTCTGGCTGCCCGGGCCCTGCAAGAGCGACCGCACACAGGCCCCAAATCACGGCCGGCTTGTCAGCCCCATGGCAGCCCCAGGTGCCCACGAGCAGGCAATGAGGAAGCGATGCAGCTGGCTCTGAGAGCAAGAACCCCTGGCTTCCCTGTCACTGTGGGCAGCCAGGCACGCGATTTAAATACGCTTGGGTTCTTCGTCCCCGCAGGGTGCACTGGCACGGCCAAAATCAGGGGAGCCCTCCCCCCTGAGCTGCCCGGAAAACATATGCCCTTCTTGGCATGCCACCTGCCACGTAAGCCCATCTCCTCCTGTTGGCCGAGGAACGCCAGGGCTTCTTGCCAAGCTGCCTGACCTGCTGCAGACCCCACCAGGTCAGGACGCAGTTTGGGGCACAGCGGTCCCGTAAGGACGTGAGGCGCACCACAGAGCAGGGAGCCATCACAGGGCGCAAGGGCAGGGGAGCATTTGTACCTCTGAAAACCTACACTGCCCCTACAATCTGTTCAGAGATCCGAGCCCAGCGACTGTTTTTCCTTTCTGACCACCCAAAGGAGGCTCACGGCTCTCAGCCGTGCTCAGTTTGCTTTCCTGTAGTCGTCGAGAACAGCTGGATCTGGAGAAGCGGCGGAACACAAAATTTATTTGCTGCATCAGTTTTTCAGTGTGAGATATGCAAGAGGCTTTAAGTAATAAAGGTCTGCTTTTTGGATGCTGAACCTGGGTAAAATAATAAGCCACAGAGAGACTAATATACGGTAGCAGTTCCTGTCTGCTGATACGACTGCTGTGAAATGAGTGTTGTGGAAGCGTTATTCGTGACGGATTTTTGATAATTGCAACACAGCGTACTGAGAGTTCTGCAAGGTGTTTAACGTACTGCAAAACGTTCAGACGGAAAATAAACCCTTGCAAAGGAGTTACAACAGAATGCCCTGTCTTTGCACTGTCCAGGAACGAAGCCAATCCTGAAATCCTACCGAGTGCAATGCCTTCTCTGATGAGCTAGTGTTTAGGCAGTGAGATGAGAAACCACAGCCCAAGTCTAGCTGTCAGGACGGAGGTAACCCCCGGCACCTGCCCCCTTCTGACAGAAGCAGCGACACCATGCAGCCAGCAACCTGCTGATGGGCATCGCAGACAGCACCAGCACGAATCAGACCCGCAGTGGAAACCCAGAGGCGAGGAAAGGAAGGCAAGCACCTTGCCGCACACCCACCTCTGTTGTGTGTCGTCTTTTTGGAAAAACTGAGCAATTTAAGGCTCTCACCCTGCAGCTAATGAACAAAATACCACAGAGCTGCCAGAGGGACAGAGGAAGGGGAGCAGAGGGAGCCCCCCTGGCAAAGGGAACGTGCACAGGCTGGAAGGTGCAAGCAGGAGCAGCGTGTAACAGGACAAGTGTGGGTCAGACGTTTTTTAAACCAAAAAAAAAATCCTCCTTGGGCAGCACTTTCCTCCCTGTTGCATCCAGGCCCCAGCAGGGAGGGCATCACAATGCCTGCTGCAGCCAGCTACACGGTGCTCTCATCCTCCAGAGCCCCTCGTTGCACCCTCTGTGCTCCCACCCCAGGAGCTTACAGAGGTTTTATTTGGCCCACTAGCGAGCCAGCTCCCCCCTCACCCAGAAACCTGCTCCCCACCAAGCACCAAACAGTGACAGTGATCTGAAATAAACTGCCAGGCCCAGGCACAGAAGTCACAGACACAGCACCTGAGGGTTTTGGAAATGTTTGGACATACCGACCAGTCTCTGCGATCCTGCCTGCCAGCTACTATTGCCATTTTACAGAGGGAAACATCAGAGGTAAAGAGAAAGCCTAAAGGAGTGCTTACTTCAGAGTGTGCCACCAAAAATGGCTTTGGGGAATTCAGACTAGGTTCTTTCTCAATTATTACTTCTATAGCCAAGTGGCTCAGCAACGCTGAATTGTGTCTGTCACTGAAGTAAGCAGATGTGATGCTGAATACACATGAGGAGGCAATCTACTGCCTGGAGCGGCGGTGAGTTTGTGTCATTTTTCAGTGCAGGTGCACTTCAATCGAGCTGACATCCTCCAGGACCATGGACACCAATGGAAAATAACACTGCACGGGCCATTTTAATTGACGTTGGGATTCCTGTACCCCTGTGCAGCTTTTAGGAGTCACAGCGCAGCACTTTCAAGAGCCCTCTGAGGATTGCTGAGGCAGTATTACAGCACTGTCTTTATGGAAGATAACTTCCAACACTGCTTAATTACATCGCTGACCTCTATACCATCTTCCATTATAGGCCTCGTTCTTACCCCCTTTTAAGTCCAACTCCACTCATTTTGCAAGAGCAGGATACAAAGAGATCCTCAGCTCAGACATTTGCATTAGGAAATAAGGGGGCAAGAAGGCAGCGTTCTTGTTCCTAGCTTTCAGATTAACCAAGAACACAAGGTTTGTGACTTCTTTCATTTAAAATGACAGCTTTGTAGGACAAACACATCTGAAAGTTTCCTTAGCTGTAAAGGGAGAAATTAAGAAAAAAGTTTGTACTTTTTACAAAAGCTGCAGTTATTTTTAGTTCCTGTGATTGCCACAGGGAAGCTAAGGGTTGGATGGCATCTCAAGATGTCCTTCCAGGAGGGAATCAGCTCTGTGTCACTCCAGGAGACACTGGTCTAAGCCCTCCTTAAAGGCCTCCAGTGAACGTGACTCCTCACTGTCTGAAGCACTCTGTTCCCTTGCTTCATTTCTCTTATTTTTTAACATGTTTTTTACTACCAAGCCTAAACTTCCCTTGCCACAGGTAAGTGATAACTCGTTATCTTCCAAGTCTGCGTGGAGAAGGACTAGAACACAACTTCCTTTCCCTTTATCCTTTGCAAAGCTCATCTCCCCTCCCTCCCTCGGTGCTTTTACAGCCCAAGCAACGGCTTTGCTTTTGCACCCCCCTGTAAATCCTATTTTCTGCACCGAGCGCTGTGACCTCCTACAGAACCTCCCCAGTTCTCCTACAGTTTTTTTGAAGTGCAATGCTCAAAACTAAACCCATCAGTCTGGTTTCATCATTACTGAGCTGAAGAGACTAATTAAATTGCATGCTTGCAATGTTCCTGTTAATGCATCCCCAGTGAAGTGAAGGCTCGGGTTCTGTTTTTGGATTTTCTACCACAAAGGCCTCCTGCTGATGACGCATATCCAGTTTGTGATCCATCTTAATCCCCAGATCCTTCTCTGCAACGTCACTTCTCCAGGTGTTCCCAGCTCTGCGACTGACTTCCCCATCCCAGGACTATCCCTGCTGATTTCCGACAACATCTCCAGTTTACAAACACCATTTTGAGCTCTGATCTTGTCCTACGGAGTGCTCAAATAACTGAAGTCACAGCAATTCTGGAAAATAAAAATACATCTAGGTCGTAACTGGAGGGCCTTTGTGTCACTGCCGAAACGCCACTCGTGAGACATCCCTTTCCCTGCGCAACAGGCGACTGTGACACCTCCTCACGTAGCCAGTTGTCACCACACAGCACTCATTGCAGGGTGCTGACAAAACACAGCTGCTCCAAACTGCTTTCAAATGAGCCCCAAATTAGGGGAACAGTTCTAATCCATGCATTTAATTCAAACACAAGCTCTCATCCAAATAAAAGGAGCCTTTTTAGGCCCTTTTTCCATTAAACCAAATCTGCAAAAAACGCACGAATGGGAAACCCACGTAGGAGTTTAATTTACAAAGAAAGGCAGTGACAGACCGAAATGGAGAACAAGATGTCAGGAGTCAAGGGACATCCTCGGCAGCACCCAGCAGCCCTCACGCCGAGGTTCAGCTCTAACCCCGTCCCTTCAAGCTTTAAGATCTCCACGGCACAACACGAGCCAAGCCCCTAGCTCCATCACCATTTTCTGACCTCAGACAGACGAACTGGTTGGAAAGCCTGCTCGTCAGGGATATATGTGATTAATTATTCATTGAACTGCCTTTGGCCGCCCCAGCCATGATTGCCCACATTGGTATCTCCAAGGCAGACATCAAAGTTGTCGGGCACCTTTCCGACAGAGTTGGCTCAGTACTACGTTTTGAGGCAGTAACTATCTGCTGTATCCTGCAGGGGTTATTTCTCTACTCAGAGCATTTTAAGTCACACATTCCTGCAAGAATAAGCAGGATTGCAAAGCGTAGGAATGGGAAGGAAGCCCCCAGCCACAAGGACAACCCCAGAGGACGAAGCAGAGGCTTTCCCTGATGCTTCAGCACCGGCAGCGGGGCCACGGCACGGGGCTGCCTGCAGCAGGCCTCTGGGCAGCCCCCTGGCTGCTGCCACTGCTCCTTGGGAAGGGACCGATGGGATGGGATGGGATGGGATAGGACACAAGGGGACAGGATGGGATGGGATGGCATGGGAAGGGGCAGGAGGAGATGGGAAGGGAAGGGAAGGGATGGGATGGGATAGGATAGGATAGGAGGGGACAGAATGTGGGATAGGAAGGGACAGGAGGAGACAGGATGGGACGGGATGGGATATGAGGGGACAGGATGGAATGGGATGAGATAGGATAGGATGAGGTGGGACGGGACGGGACGGGATGTGGGATGGGAAGGGACCGGAGGGGATGGGATGGGATGGGGAATGACAGGAGGGGATGGGACGGGACAGGACCAGATGGGACCGGACGGGACGGGTCAGGACGGCAGCCCCCCGGGCAGCGCGGAGCCGCTCCCCCCCCCCCCCCCCTCCCCTCGCCCCCTCGGTTTTGGGGCCGTTTTGGGGCCGCGGGCTCGCTCGCTCACTCACAGTGGCACCATCCCAGGTGGCAGCACCAGTGCAGGCGGAAGCAGCGGCCGTGGCTGTGCGTGGCGCAGAGCGAGAGCCCGTCGCAGGGCTGGAAGTCGGGTCTGCCCGCGCAGCTGCGGGCCAGCGCCTGAGCCTCGTCCAGCTTCTCGCTCTTCGCCGCCGCCCCGCTCATGGCGCCGCCGCTCCGCCCGCAGCCCCCGCGCCGCAGCGGCCAGGAGGAGGAGGAGGAGGAGGAGGAGGAGGAGGAGGAGGAGGAGGAAGAGGAGGGGAGCAGCCGCACGGCAGCAGCAGGAGGAGCAGGAGGCGCCGAGCCGCAGCGGGGACCGCCCGCGCCACGGGGGCAGCGCCGCGGGCAGGGCCCGGCCCCAGCCCCGACGGCTCCGCCCCGCCCCGCCCCGCGGGTGGCCCCGGGGTCCCCTCGGTGTCCCCCTGTCAGCCCCGGTCCCCTCTCGTCTCCCCCGGTCCCGGGGCTGCCCCTGTGCCGCCTCGCCCCGACGGTCCTGGCCGGGGCAGGCACGGCTGCGGCTGGGGTTGGGGTCGGGGTTGGGTTGGGGTTGGGTTGGGGTTGGGTTGGGTGCTCCCCACACGCCGTGCTCCCAGGCAGGTGGAAGTGTTTCTGCCTGCGCATGCTGTGGTTCTGTAAACGCCGATAAACTTTGCCTTCCATTTTGTGAGACGACCACGGCACGATTTCGGCTGTCGGAGGTACGAACGCGTGCCCGTACCTGCAACAAGCGCACCCCCGGGCTGAAGCTGGAGGGGCTGTCACCTCTAACAGCTCGATGTTTGGCTTCCTGAGGGTAGCAGTGGGCTTGTCTCCCCGTCAAGCCTGAACTTTAACTGTGCTTTGATTGTCCCCCCGGTCAGCACTAGCAGAGCTGAAGCCAGCCTCCTGTTTGGGCAGAAGTCAGGCTGTCGCTTGCAGCCACCCAACTGCGCAGTGCCACCAGCTCCCTGTCTCTCATTTGTCCTCCAAAACATCTGGACACGGCTCCTTCGGGGCCGTCCTTGGGGCAGATCCCAGAGCTGTCCCAGTGCTGAGCGCCCTCCTGAAGATGTGCTGAGCAAAGCGTCTGCGTCGTGCCCACAGAATGAGCTTGAGAACCACCGAGCCACACGTGTGTCACTGTGCCAGCTGTGCGGTTTACGGGGAAAATCAAGGAATATGGGTCAGTGACTGGGCACAGACTTGCCTGGGGACTTTGTGAGTACGGTCCCTGGCTTGCTGAGCAGAGCCCTCTCCTCCCCAAAGACACCAGAGTGGGAGGGCTTGGATGCTCCCTGTGGTCACCCAGCACCTTCAGGCAATGCACATGGGCAGCCAGCACCTACCTGGGCACTGCTGCCCGTCCTGCAGTCCTGGGGAGTGTCACAAAATGTTTCCACTGCCGTCCTTCCAGGGCTGATCGTGGCTGCTGAGTCAAAACCGGAGCTGGCTGCAGGAGGCAGGGAGGTTCAGGCCATGCCTCGGGGATGGGGCTGTCAAACTCAGCCGAACCAGGCTGGAGTTGGGTGCCCCGCTGGGAGCCCTGAGCCTTCCTGGGCACTGGGCGCTGCGACTGAGGGTGCTTCACGAGCCAGCTGATCTTCAGGGCCTCCAGGGTTAATGGCACTGGAAAGTGAATTTGTTGAATCGCTCCTCAAGGCTTAGCTGCCTTTGTTTTGCTGAAATCCCACTGAATTCAGCAAACATTCGGGGCCTTGCACAGCTGTTTGCAAGCAGAGGAAAAACTGATTGCAAAACCAGGTGCTTCTTTGGCACTGTCCTGCTGGTTTGCGAAGAACGTCCTAAAAATTCGTGTTCCCTGGAGCCTGCCAGCAGCAAACAGGAAATGCAGCTCAGCTCCCGTGAGACCCCAGGCGCAAGAACTGCCTCTCCTGCTGCTGGCACAAAGCCGCCCTTCACCACCGCTGCTTCTCCTCCAGAGCTGCTCTCACCCCCAGCTCGGGCTGCAAGATTACTTTCTGTTAAAAAGCAATTCCGTCAAGGAAGGTGAACTGCGGGTCAGAGAACTGGGAGTAGGTGTTTCTGACGAGACTCAGGCGCCCCATCCAATTCGCCTGCGTGCTGCAAGACGGTGCTCTGAGCACAGGGAGCTTTCTGCCTCTCTTTGAAGGCCCTGTGCTGCAGGGGACGCTGATCAAAGCCGAAGCAATTCTCTCCTTTGGTGCACTCCTATTCTTTACTGTTTTGCAAAACGCCTGTGGCTGAGCAGTTAATGGAGGCATCTGCTGCACTGGCAGAGTTCACTGACTTAATTAAAGACATCTAACAATTCTGCAACTGCATGTGAGACCAGGGGTACTCGCAGGGCTGAAACCAGACAACCTCAGCACTGAAAGCAAGCATCCCTCCTCTGCAGAGAGCACGGCTCTGCAGCCAGGCACGCACATAAACATAGAGTCAGGGCCCAAAAACTGAGGATGGGCTACAGCCAGCTTGCACTGTGTGCCACGGAGCCCTCATCACGCTGGGTAACGCACAGTCCCAGCTCACACTCACCTAGGTCAGATGTGTGACCAGTGGGCAGAGCCTGGGACACTCCTGCACACACCAACGCTCATCAGTAGGAAGAGTTTACCTGGAAAACATTTTAAGTAGATACTTCTTCACCGAATGAAATTTGCCAGCTCGTTTAAACAGACAGTAGGAAAATCAATCCCATATGAGGTGGTTAAAGTTCAGCCCTGGGGGGCTGGGGGCCAGGGAGCTGCGGCTGCCCTCTGGTGTGCTTGAGAGGCCGGGGCTCAGAGCCTCGCGCTGGCCTCCCGGAGCTGCCAACGCAGCCTCTCCGCGCTGGCAATGTCACTGGCGGTGGCCGGGACACAAAGCAGACAGAACAATCAATGCTGGGCTGCTCTGGTCAATACGAATTTACAAATGAACTTCTGTCAGTAGAGACATTGCTGGTGCGAACAGCCTCTGTTCTCAGTAATCTCCTGGAGGGGAGATGGGCAGGGGTGGGCACGTCAGATGCAGCAGCACGGAAGTGCAGCAGGTGAGGAGACATTTTGGCTGCCAAGTAGAAGTCACTGGGGCTTGGTACCCCGAAACCAACATCTCCCATTCCTCACCCCGCTCCCGCTGCAAGGGCAGTGCCCTTTTCCAGCCCGTCTGCGGTGCGGGTGAGCAGGGCAGCACGAGGCACGGGAGAGGGGATGTCAGTGTGGTGTGTCCGGGGCTGTCCTGCCGAAGGACATGCGAGCCGGCAGCGCCGGGCAGAGCTGTTGTGTAACATGTCACGCGGAGTCCGCTCGCGTGGAAGCAGCGCTTCACCTTTGAGCAAATGCTGGATTGCTCTCAGCTGTGACACGCGAGTGATGGGGAGGGGGGGAACTGCAGCAGCTTTCTGGGCCTAGAGTTATTTCTGTTTCTGGTCCAGGAGAAAAACGCCCGCTGGAACCAGTCATTTGGTTGGGTTACGGCTTCTTTTGCACCCTCATCCACAGAAAGACAGGAGTAGAAAGAGGGCAAAATAAGTTACGTTTAGAAAAAAGCAGCAAGCAGCCTCTTCAAACAAAGACTTCTTCATTAACAGGAAATTTATCTAATTCTGCCATGTAAAGAAACAATGGAGGTATGAAGAAAGAACAAACACATTTTCCGTTTTCAGTATGGTATCATATAATCAAAACAGTTTTATTAAAATAGAAAGCAGAATCTGATGTTAATCTTCCTGAGAAGGGAACCCAGACCCACCCATGCCCCACGCCAACCTAGACGATAAATTCAGAGGCCACGAGCAGTGGGTGACTGCCCCACAGCAGCAAGCCTGGAGGAAGCTTGGTCACCTCCCCCTGCTCTGCTCCCTGTGTGCCTGCAGAAATGTTCCTGCCTGCACAGCTCTGGAGCCCTGCACTCCTCCGCGTGCCCTCTGTGCATGTGGAAACCCAGTAAGTGCCAGGCCAGGCTTCGGTCTGGTCAATTAGATCAATTAGGTAGCTGTAGGCAGGCAAGAAAGGGGGAGGGTTGGCAACACAAACCCACACTTGGAGATGCCAGAAGATGTTTCTGCCTGGACACAGACAGGTGGATGGTAACGGAGGCTGGAGCCTGGATGCAGAAGGCTGGTCGTGAGCCAACAGCACGGGGCAAGTTAGGCAGGTTGATGCATTTGTGGCTTTTCTGCCATTTATCAGAATTTTCTTCTGTGGGAGGAGGGGACAGTACCAGCCCTGCCCCTCGCTCTCTGTCCAAAGCTGCTCCCTCCAATTCATTTGAATTTACCTCTGAAAGGCGCTGTGCCCCTTGTGCCAACTGCCCCCAGCAGCAGGAAGGGAACAGGTTCCAACTGGCTGCGTTTCGGAGCCAGGAAATCTGGGCTGGAGATGGGCTGCAGGGGGAGATCTGAACAGGCTGGGAAATGGATTCAGGCCAGGATCTGGTAGATTCAGCTCATGCGGGGTGAACCGTGACCATCTCCTTTGTGAACTGTGGCCACCTCGCTCTCGCTTCCCTCTGTGATTCGCTCTGAGGGCTGTGTGCTGCTGTCCCTTCGACACAGACAGACCAAAAGAGAAGCACTGCTGTGAAATCCTAAAGGCAGAGCAAAGTGAAACACGTCCGTGCACAGCAATGTGCAAAAAGGGTGGGTGAGGCTGGTGGTGAGACGGAAGGGTGGGCGATGGCAGTGGCTGCCGGCAGCAGGGGGCTGACTGAGATCAATCTTTGGCCAAAGTTATTCTCTGCGAAGGCCCAGGAAGGTTAGTGACATTGTTTATGAGCCTGAAGCACTTTGGGTTTGATTGGAAAAGACAGGGCAATTACAGCACCTGTTTCACGAGATCTCTCCCATGAATTTATAGAGCAGGCGTCAATGAAATCACAGCTTGCTGCTCTGCGAGCCTGGGCAGGACATCCACTCTTTGAGGGGAGGGCTCCCCGCAGCTACCAGCTTTTTCAGAAGGGCACTGGGACGCAGCTCGGGGACATCAGGGTGGGCCTCGGAGTATTTCTGCAGCTTAGCCAGAACACGAGGGAGCCCGACGGTGGAAGCATAGAACATGGGGCCGCCCTTGTGCTTTGGCCACCCGTAGCCATTGATATAAATGACATCAAGGTGTTCTGGGCCTGAAGCTATTCCTTCAGCCAGGATGTTAAACCCTTCATTGATGAGAGAAAACAAACACCGCTCCAGGATCTCCTCCTGGTCTACAAAGCGGGTCTTGATCTGATGGGTGTCCCTGTACTCAGACAGGAAGCTGTGAAGCCACGGATCTGGCCTGGCTGTCCTGCCCCCAGCCTTCTCGTACTGGTACCAGCCTTTTCCAGTTTTCTGCCCAAACCTGCCTTTCTCACACAGAAGGTCGGGCAGCGGGCTGTAGCGACGGCCGTGCCGCTGGCGGGCAGGCGTTCCT